TTAATGCAGATAAGTTATCTGCATTTATTCTCAAAATGACGTCGTTTTGGTATTGAAATTTTAAAAAATTATAAATATAAAGACTATTATATCCCTGAAATAAATTAAAATTACAAAAATACCATGATTTCCGTCCCAAAACGACGTCATATTGGCTTACTGCAGATAACTTATCTGCAGTAACTGCATAAAAAGCGAACCCAAACAAAATTATTTGAGTGCCACGCTCCTTGCAAAAATACTGCCAGTATTTTCTCGATTTTTATTCAAATCTTTAAAAATATATTAATGTATAACATGGCCAATGAATTTAAATTGTGACACCCTCCCCTGATATGCATCCAAGGAAGAAGTCTGCTAAACTTTATTAGAGTCGCAACGTTACGTATTACAATCTGAAAGTGCACTTTTTAGTCACAATTAAAAACTTGTATTGATGTTATCAAAAAAAAAAAAAAAAAAACTTGTATTGAAATCAGGTTTCATAGGAAAACGGTGAAAAGTTTCATAAAACGTTGATGCTAAAACAGTGAATTCTTTCATGTAAAACAGTCTGTCGTGGAAAAATCATTTAAAATTGAACTTTCGAGCTATCAAAAATTTTCTTTGACACAAAGAAAGTAGACACCTGGAGCTTCACGTACATATAAAATATAGTTCATTCGGAGTTCTGTAGCCCCGAAAACAGAACTCGCAAGCTACATGTTAAATCAGTGCAATTTTTCCAAAAACCTACCTGACTTGAAAAAATCATATAAAATCGTGCTTACAAGCTTTTGATATAAACTTTATATAATTTGAAAATAGACATCTAGGGCTTTACGTACATATAAATTATATCTCAATCGGAGATCTGTAACCCCAGAAACAGAACTCGCCAAATGCTTGAAAAATTAGTAAAATCCGAATTTCATACTGGCTGTATTTATTCTTGAAAATCTTATTATCATGAGCTAATTGAACTCAGAATGCTTCTAATGAAAGACAATCATACAAGATCTAATTATCACTAACAATTGACTCTTATTATGATATCTATTTTTAGCCAATTAAATCATGCCTTACACATAAAATACATAACTTGGTTAGTAGCTATGTTTATACCTCTTAATAGCATGGTGCACGATCAGATAGTTTCCTTACACACCTGAAGTACATATTACTTTACAGTATCACAACAAAATTTAATCTGAATTCAGAACACACTTATCACAGAATATTACATGTAATCCAACTACTCAGCACCCAAACCAAACAGAATATTGCACACACAGTAGGGTTTCCAACAGCAGAACTTAGATAGAATATTTCCATGTAATCACGTCATCAAATATTTCTACGTTCCCCTGCAATTTTATAAAAATTGAGCCCCAAAAGGGGTGAGAAAAATCCCAGTAGTGTGGCAGAAAATCCAGCAATGCAACAATGTTAACTTAGACACCAAATTTCCAAAATTATCACATCATCAAAAAAATTCCGAACAGATACTAAAATATAATCAAAATGCGTATATAACGCCAGAATACTAATCAGAATGCGTATATAACGCCAGAATACTGTATGTTCATAGCACTACGGTGCACATATTAGCTAACACAGTGGAGATTCCATTTGGCCCAACAGAGGAGAATTCCAACTGCGACCTATGCGAACTGAGCCACGGTTCCTTCTCCCCGGTACCTGAGGGATGCCTACATGTTGCATGCTCAAACATATGCTTACTTTTATCAAATAATTCGGTTTCCAAAACTGAATGCATAATGCTGTATGCTATGATATGTTTTGCTTCACACACACATGAAAATGCAATTTTATGATGTTCATGAGCATGACTAAATATCAGAATCAGAGAGTCATAGTTTACATGACTATGACAACAAAAATTCGAAGCATAGTGTATATCCAAACAGAATTTCCAATAATTCATATTCCAAGTCAGTTATCATTACCTTCAAACAGAATCAGATTAGGACACGAGAGCAACAAATAAAAAATCCAAGCACTAAATTAACAGTCACAAAGGGGTAATCCACCGAGCATTTACCTTGAGTCTTTAACTTTTTTTTTTTAATCAAAACATCACCAAATCAGTCCCCTTTGGTTAGAGTCTTGTGCACCTAATTCAGCAAATACCAAATCAGAATTTCGTTTTATTTTTCCTATACGTCAAACGTAATTTCTATGCTTCCAATCCTAAGATCTTAGCCGAATTTCATGGTTCTCTTCCTAAATAATTTTTCTGCCGTGATATTAATTTTACCAAACGTTACCAAATGATAAAAAATCAAGATTTCTAAGACATGCATATACGGTTTTGGACATCAACCAGGTGCTACAAATTAATCATTTACATATCATTACCTACAAGGTTAGGGACGCGCTAAGGATGCATAAAACATGCTGCCTACATAGGCTATAAGCACATGCAGGGCCTGATTCAAATCGGATACCGAGGTTCTTATACTACTTTAATTTTTCGAACATAGTGTTTATTTTACCCATTGCTAGCAAATGACAAAATCCCAAGGTTCTTATGCATACAGATTCGGTTTTCATCATCAACTAGGTACTTATAACTTTATTTTAACGAAACTCTACCAATATCACTTAGTCACGACTAATTAAATTATAACATGCTGTCTTTAAGGATTCAAAACATGCAAGGCTAGATTATTATACTGATTCAAAAGGACAGCCCCAACGCCTAACAAGGAGTTCTATTTCGGCTTGCCTGTACCAAAAATCCAAGGCTGTTCGAATGGGCAGAAGCAAGGGAATGTGAATGACAAAAATTCAATCTTCCTAGGTCACACATGTAGGCCGAAACAGAGATGGTAAGAGGAGTTTGAAGTTTGGTCCTTACCTTCTAGCATGTACATCAAAAGCTCGCCATTCAGCTAAGGGACCGTCACCGATTTTCTGTTCTAAAATCCTCACACTCCTACTCTCCAAGATTCATGCTTTCAGCTACATGCAACACACTCCTACTCTCCAAGATTCAATTTTCAGCTGCATGCGAAAAGGAAATTCCTTTCAAAACCGAAATGAGTATGAAGAAACAAGGATGTAGAGGAAACACCACACCTCCATGAATATAGGTGCTTGGCCGAACGAAAGAGAGGAAGAAGAGAATGCTAAGGTATTTCATTATTTTCTTTTGGTATTCACGATTCGTGGAAGAGATGATGTGGAAGAGGATGCAAGCATGGATTATGGTGTTTGTCTTGTAGGCTTACGGTTGTGAAGGAGAACTTGAGAGGAGCTAAGAGTGATGCTGAATCAATGATGAACAATCCGTTTTCTTGGGGGTGGTCCTTTGTTATGCGCATGGAAAGTAAGAGAATAAAGTAGGGCTGAGTTTCTTTAAAATAAAATAAGGAGAGGAGGTCAGCTTGTTACTCCTTCAATTTGCGCATAGGGTGGGATAAGTTGGTCATAATTCTGACCCAAAAGTACAAGAAAAAAAAATATATAAGATAGCTTTTGCCCTCATTGGGCGCTAGGGGTGGTGAGGGCTGACTAGCATTTGGACACAATGACAAGCATGCAGTTTGCTTTCTCTCTTCATAAGGTGCATGGAATGGGAAGATAAAGATGGATAGATATTCCACTTCTTCGCCAATAAAGAATAACCATGCAGATTTTGTTTTGGGATAAGCTAAGGATCATGAGTAGGAAAAATATAGGGCTGCCTTAACCCCAAATTAAAGGCTTGGGCCGTCGCCCATGGAAGAAATTGGACTCAATAATTTATCTAAGTCATATTGTTTCATGTAGCTACTAAGTTGTAACTAGAGTTTTCATAAAGAATGCTTAAGGGGGCGTTTGGTTGAAGATAAATTTTAAGAATACTAGAGAAATGTAATTACTAGATATCCATAGAGAAAGTTGAATAGATGGAGAAGTTAAAAAAAAGTAGTTTGATAAAAAGTGTGTCAACAGTGCTTTACCCAGGTTTTCTCAAAAAATCACTCTCAAATCGGGTTTCTAAACAGTGCAAATTACTATCTTTCTCAAAAAGCCAGGCATTTCACATAGGTGGGTTTTGGTCAAAACCTGTTGAACCAAACATGGATTTTCTAAAAATCAAACTTCATTTACCTAGGAAAATCTCAAAAAGCCTTCAACCAAACGCCCCTTCCTATCCTACACATACTTAGATTTTTAATTCAAGGCATGCATTCACATCCACCATGGCATTTTAAATAACTTCCTAATGGGTCACCTATCTTATGTAATACGCTATTAATTAACATTTCATTCTCCCACTAGGTAGTAACTAGGGTTCCTACCTATATTGTAATTAAACGTAATACTATCCCTTTTTAACTAGAGTTTTGAATACTTAAAATATACATATATACTCACTTATAATTGCTATTAAAAACAATTTTCCTAAATTAAATTAAGTCCACCCTTTAAGTATATATATTTTGAATTCAAGACATGCTTCCATGTTCCTAACTGAAATTTATATACTTCCTAAATTCGTGGGATGTTACATAAATTGTGTTTATTTTGTTTAGAAAACATTTTATTCAATAAAATAACTTAATTATATAAAATTATGATCAAATTTTCATAGGGTTTATTACATTATAAAGTTCAGTAGTAATATACGATTCAAGTGAGTTGTTCATATGCTACTGGCACGCACGGTATACATTAGCACAGTAATAATTTCCAGACCGTCTCCGTTTTAAAATTATATTGTAGTTCTTTAATGGTGTATTTCATGAGTAGATATATAATCTAAAATTGTTATTTCTACTACTTTGGTTCCTAAAAATTTTCATTTGTACAAATAAATCGTTGAATATATAAACTTGTTAGCGTTTAGCAAGACAAATCCGTTAACAAGTTGATAACTTCACAAATCATTTTATACAGACAAAAACTTTTGGAGAATGAAGTAACTAAATCATCATCTTTTCATCCTCCGAATTATAGATTTATTCAGAATTTCAATTTTTATAGTCTCCCCGAATTATCTGGGAAAGTGTCCTAACATGATGCAGAATCTCACCCACGTTCTCCATCTACGATGTAGATAGTCTCTACATTGGTGATTTGTGAGCCCATTTCTTCTAGCATGCACCCAGCATACAAGTAAACAGCCAGTCCTAATCCAATTTTGGGCCCATATCTCCAACCTTCTAAGCAAATCTCGACTACTGTTATGACGTACAAAATATTCACGTAAAACGTTATTAAATCTAATTCTTTAGTTGTATATCATCAAACCTTCTAATGAAAGAAAATAAGTGTTTAATTCTTGATAAACGATCAATGAACCGCCTCTGTGAAGAGTAGCACATAAAATTGAGCTCCTAATCATCAAAGTTTGCCATCTTTATATTAAGAAAGGTATTAACCTGTTTGGCATAATCCAAGCTGAAATAAGGATTTCAGTAAGACAATCAACCTAAAAGCATCACAAAAGCTCAATAGAACAGGAATTGAACAGTATATGTTTTAGATCAGGAATCAACATTTCTATAAGTAAATTACAACAGGAAAATAATAGAAAAAACCCCTCACAGTAGTTGTTTTTTACAGCTTCAGTTACAGAGTTAGCAATACAATCAACTAGACAATTAGATAGAAAGACAATGCTGTTATGCACCTAAAAGAAGATGCAGCATACAGCAGAGGCCCAGTATCCACTACACATTGCTTTGTTTGTAAAACTTGGTGTCAAGAACTTGCTTGCCACACATTGCACAAACTCCTGTAATACAAAACACATCAGGATTTGAGTAACGTACTTTAATGAAGGACCACATTTAACTAGAGTGCCAAAATGCAAAATGTATGGTTGCAAATACAAAACATCTCAAGATGGAATAGCACCTTTAGTGTAAGCACAGGTGTGACAGTACTTGCCATCCTGGTGCACTTGCTGCTTGCAAATCATGCACTTAGTGTTTCCGTAAGGGGTCCATCTGCAAGCAATCAATTTAAAAATAAGTTTACTCTTCACAGAATATCCATGACTGAAACATACATGGTGGAATAAATAATGCAGCTACAAAGGGAGAAAAGGGAACATATAACACACACGGTGAAGGTGCAATAGATTATTGGATAAAAACTTGCTGATGGTATTGAGAATCATTTATAAATGCAAGACTAAATGCATACACATTTACAAAAAGGAACGTTACAGCCCTTTGGTTGGCTCCGTTCCAGATGGTCATTCATTCTAAACCCAATACATTGATAGTGTTTGGACAACAATTAAGCCATGCAAAAGCAAGAAGAGTGCTTATAGTCATCATTAATTCATATAAGTGCAAGACCAATAAACTGTGCTTATGGTTTTGAGTATGATTCGTAAGTCGAGATATAGAATATAAGAAGCTAAAATAGATCAGTCTATGTGTCCTAGCAGTTTTGAACCACTTAGCTATATTAAAAATATTTTCCAAGAGACACATCAATCAAAATACATGTATCGGTTTTAAATGTATAGAAATCAATAACTAAAAACAGAATTTTTTTACTTAAAAAAAAAAAACAGAAGTTTGAAACGAAAACAAAATCGTAGGGCATAACTGTGAAGAGGGAAAGTGACCAGGGTGAACTATGGGAGAGATACCAATACTCCTTCCACAAAAAAAGGCATGAAATAGAATGCATTGTAATAACAGATATAACTGTTTCAAAATTCAAAGCTGTTTGAGCATACAGCAAATTTACTTACACAATCAAGTCCTAGTGACAGTCAATAATCAATTCACTTGTTATAAATAAAACTTGAACGAAATAGTCAACTAGTTCTCCATCACTAACTACCACCTGAAAACATGAGGCTTCTTTCTCAACTTTTACACAGCCATAGCAAACCTATATATAAAAATGAATTTCCCCAAAAGAAAAAGAAGAAATAAAATTATATTCAAACCATCAAACCAAGCATGCGGTGCCATAAGCCCATAACAAAAGTATGCATAGCACCTCAATAAGTGATGCATAAAAACATCAAAGTCTATTGGTCCAAGGGTGAATCTCGTCCCAACAAGTCCAACTTTGCCAACATCATAGAAAATCCCCCCCCCCCCCCCCCCCCCCCAAAAAAAAAGGAGACTATTTCAACAACATAAATGAAATATAGTAGCACATGTAGCATTGAGGTTCAAAGGTGAAAAGAGAGAATAGCTTGAAAATAATTTTCATTCCAAAATTTCCACCTCAAATTTTTGTTATATCAAGCAAGTGAAAAATAATTTGCACTCCAAGGTTTCCACTAGGAAACTAAAAATGCTTACTATCAGTTAACATTACACACGAGTGACAGAGCCTAATTATGCTTCTTATACCCAATTTTAAAATTACAAAACAAAGTATGCAAAAAAGAAATAAATAAAATATATATAATTTAAAGGTTAAAGGAAACCTGTTCTTCTTGGAGAGGAGCTTGTTCTCGTTAATCTTACGACCACCACCCTCAGTAGTATTGCTGGCCCCTTCTTTCCACTTGTCCGGTACTATCACCTTCGATAATTTCTTCTCACCTGCAACCCCAAATTCAGATTACCAAAAACAAAAAAAGAAATTAAAAATTGAAATTTTGACGGGGATATACAGTGCGAAAACCGTGGATTGCAGAGAAAGTTGAAAAACTCACACTTTTCGCAGACCATTGCAAACGTTAATGGCTAAGGTTACAGATTTGATTATATGAATGTTCCGATTAGAAAATCAAAATTCGGATACCTAATCGGAACAGAACCCTCTATGCCTTTCCCCGTATTCGTTCCAGAGTCTTGCTGAAAGTTTAAGCATTTTCAAACCCGAACTGACAAAATTACCCTTGCGTACACTGACAATTTTACAAAATCATTACAAAACAAGGGAAATTACACCAAAAAAGTTTACTACCGGTACAACTAACTTAATCACCGTTAATTTTTGTCAATCTAACAGTTATATTTTATTAGAAATTATTGGATTTTATTTATTAATTAATTATTAATTCTCATAAATTATAACCGTTAGATTAATAAAAATTAACGGTGATTAGATTGATCGTAAAAGTGATAAAATAAGCATATGCCGTCGCATAAAACAATGTTTCCCAAGACACGAATTCATAAGAAAGGTTCCTTTTTTTCTTTAAAATTAATTTTTTATAATTAGATACGCATATTGAAAATGCATAATGATAATGCTAACAAATAATCAATTTAAATATTATTCTAATATTTTTAACTTACTTATTAATTCTCGATGAATTAAAATATAAGGACTAATGTCAAATAAAATAAGGAAAAACATTTTCTCATGTTGCATGAGATTTCAATTTTTATGTTGTGATCCTTCGATTTGCGTGCAAAACTTTTCTTTTTCTTTTTTTAATAAATGTGAGACCCACCACTAGTTGAGTCACAACATGAGAATTCAATTCTCATGCAACATGAGAAAATCAAATCCCATAAAATAATTATAATAACTAAAAATCAGAAAAATTAAAATCTTATTTTATATTACTTAAGTATTGTAAAGGGCAATGATACATCGACGCTTCAAAATACTTACTGTGTGTGTTCGATACTTCGCGACACTCTTTGATATTCTAACACTTCCCGACACTTTAACACGCATTTCAGATACTGAAAAAAAAGTTCGAAGGTTGCGTTACATTGCGTCTTTAATTTCAACTATTAAATTCGTTAGATTACGATTACCATTATATTAAGTTTAACATAAATATTAACTGGTTAAGTGAATAAAACGGGAATAAATAGCACTTACTCCATTATATAGTTTAAAATCCAATAGCACTGGTTATAGTTGTAAACATTTTGTAAAATTTCAAAATAATTTATAGATATTATATTTGATAATTTTATTTTTAATTGCTCAATATATATATAGACGGAAAAAAAGGACAATATGCTTAAGTGAACAAAAACCAAATACTTGGATACTTTAATATATTTATGAAATTAAATAAAGACATCAAGGACAGTTTGGCCGAGTGGTCTAAGGCGCCAGATTTAGGCTCTGGTCCGCAAGGGCGTGGGTTCAAATCCCACAGCTGTCATTTGAGTTTTTTTTTTTTAACCTTTTTTTCAACAAACTGCTATCTTATTAAAATGCTTGGTTATTATAAATCATGAATTTTGATATCGAAGATATGTCAATAAATTCAGGTGAAAATATCCTAAAAGGACGCCTCTCTGAACCGTACAAATGCTATCTTCACTACTCAAAAGGCATACACTTTCTAGATTTTTCATTCAGATATTTTCACCCATGCATCTCTAACCTCATGTGACCTCATCATCTCCCCCTTTTGATTATAAAACCTCATTCAACTACACTGACAAATATCAAGTTTCATTTAACCATTCTCTTCTTTCCATTCCATAACAGATAACACAATCCAAATATCCCAAAACCCTTTCACATAGTTATAACACTCCTCTAATGGCAGCCATGGCCACCACAACCCTCACCCCCTCTCTCTCTTCAAACCTGAAATCCTCATCCTTCCAAGGAACACCCCTTTCTTCACGCATCGCACCCATCAAATCCACCAACTCCCAACATAACTCAACCACAATCTCCATGTCCCTAAACTCACCCCCTTACGACCTCCAATCCTTCAAGTTCCAACCCATCAAAGAGTCCATCGTCTCACGCGAAATGACACGCCGTTACATGACAGACATGATAACCTACGCCGACACAGACGTCGTCATCGTCGGAGCTGGCTCCGCCGGTCTCTCTTGCGCTTACGAGCTCAGCAAGAACCCTTCTGTCAACATAGCCATCATCGAACAATCCGTTAGCCCCGGTGGCGGCGCATGGCTCGGTGGCCAACTCTTCTCCGCCATGGTGGTTCGCAAACCAGCTCACAGGTTCCTCGACGAGCTCGAGATCGAGTATGACGAACAAGAAGACTACGTTGTTATAAAGCATGCAGCTTTGTTCACATCCACAATCATGAGCAAGCTTCTTGCGAGGCCTAATGTGAAGTTGTTCAATGCTGTGGCTGCTGAGGATTTGATTGTGAAGGAAGGGAGGGTTGCTGGTGTTGTGACAAATTGGGCTTTGGTTTCAATGAACCATGACACACAGTCATGCATGGATCCCAATGTGATGGAGGCTAAAATTGTGGTGAGTTCTTGTGGACACGATGGTCCTTTTGGTGCTACTGGGGTTAAGAGGTTGAGGAGTATTGGCATGATTGATAGTGTCCCTGGAATGAAGGCACTTGATATGAATGCTGCTGAGGATGCTATTGTTCGTCTTACTAGGGAGATTGTGCCTGGCATGATTGTTACTGGCATGGAAGTTGCAGAAATCGATGGATCCCCAAGAATGGTACCTTTTATTTTTCCTTTTTTAAACCTTAATTAGACATATTATATCATATCATATCTTTCTTAGTTTTGTTTCATTAGATATTAACGATGTTGTTGATTATTTGTGCAGGGTCCAACATTTGGGGCAATGATGATATCAGGACAGAAGGCAGCACATTTGGCATTGAAGGCATTAGGGAAGAACAATGCTATTGATGGAACATGTGAAGTTGGAAGTGAAGAACCAGAACTTGTTTTGGCTTCTGTTGATAGTGAGATTGTTGATGCTTAAAGTTTAAAATTAGATGGCTTTTGTTTTTTGTTTTTTTTAGTTTTTTCTGCTTTTCTTCTGTTTTGCCCCTGTCTATGATTTGGATATTGAAATAAATAAAGAAAAATGTGAATGAATAAGGGGCGATACCTGTTGTTTCATCCTTTGTACTTAGACTAACAAATTGGCAGCCTGTGCAATACTTGTGTAGCAGATGTAATCGAATTACCATGGATAAGAGAGATAGATACCACTTTTTAAATTAAAATCTGACTAGACAAGATAATTATAATGATGCCAAGTGACTTTAAAACGAAATCAAATCATAGATAACAAGCAAACTATCCAAAAAATGGGCAAAACCATGTCCTGCAGAACACAGGACAGACAGTAGTATCATTACATGATAAAATTTTTTAATACATCTGATGAATCCACTTGGTACAATTTTTTAACAATTGGGGAATTTTTTTTTTCCATTTCTATCCTTGTATTTTTTTTTCTTTTCATATTCCAAGATTTTATCTCTTTTTGGCAAGGATGTATATACATATGCTACAGAGAAGGTTTTCTCCATTACATGGCAGGGCAAAATTATTATTTTTCCTAGCGTTGTTTACCAGTTCTCCTGTTTTAATTACAGCAATTACTATTGAACTCTTGAAGTACTCTTCAGTCTTCACTTCTTTTCAATCGTTACACAGGGATTAGTATATTTTCTTGTATAAAGAATCCGCTTGTCTAAGGCTCCCACTGAATCATGGCGTAAGAAAGTAATGTTAAAAAACATTTCTTATTCCAGGATTTTTTGGTCTAGTAATCATCTAACTAAATTTTCAAAAAAAAAAGTAATCATCTAGTTTAAAAAGTAATCATCTAACTAGATTCCTAAATTTGACTTGTATAGTGTAAATTCGATTTATGAGAGGCCTACTTTTTGAGGAGGGTAGAGAAGCATAAATTTGAAATCAGATTAATTAGATTCGTTAGGATTTTGGATAATAATATCTACCGAAAAAAAAAAATTGGGATGGATTTTTTGAGCAAATAACAGTTCTTTTATAGGTTACAATTACTTATTTTTCTGTGTAAGCTTTGGAACTATATCATTGTATGAACAAGTCTCCGTTTGAAAATAGCCGTCTAAATGAAGGATCATCAACCTCATTTGGGAGCTTTACAAGTAATTTACCAACATGGATTTCTCTGAATTCATACTTAAACCATGTATTTATTTATCAAACACGCACGAAATAAGCCAACTTCTATGAATCTATTGACTTGAAATGGAAGAAAAACAAAGTAATGATTTTCACTTATAAGAAAATAAAAGACAAATATCTCCAAAAAAAGAAAGAAAAAAAATTAAAAGTCAAGTCAAGTCCAAAAAATAAAAATAAAGGACACGTAAGAAAAATACTCAAAATATGAAGATTATAGATAAATAACTTATATACAAATATAATGAAACAACTCTCTCTCTCTCTATGGAACATATGCTTTAAGCAAAATAATGTTCAGCAACCAATCCAAATCAATTCAAATGTAACCGAACTGAAAAATCAAAAATCGAAAACCCAAAAAAAAAACCTCATATTTTAATTTTAATTTGAATTTGATCAATTTTCGGTTTGGTGGGTGAAAATCGATTCAATCTAAACTTATCCAATGTATTATGTATTTATTACGGGATTAACATTTCTCTAGCCACTTGAGACTTGAGATAAGCTTATCTTAAGCTACCCTTTTTAATTATGTACTATCGGTAGTACATATTTATAACGTTAAAATTGCTCTCTCCTTTTTCTCTCTTCAGTCACTTTTTAGAACCAGTCTGCTGACGTGGAGAAAGAATTTTTTTTTTAACATTATAACAATGTACTACAGTTAATACATAGTTAAAAAGCATAGCTTGAGATAAGGTTAACTCAAGTTACTAGAGAAATATTTTTTTCATTTATTATTTTCGAAAGATGGTGATTTTGAATCTTGTTGTTTTGTAGACTTGGAGTCTTGAATGTTATTGATAGCAAGCTATCTTATTTTAATTTTTTATTGTCTATTAATCTATTTTAACTCTTCATTAAGACTTGAGTTTTTCGGTGATCTGTAACTGTGAATGATTTTATTTTGATATAACTAGTAATTTGTATGACTGAAACTTTCAGTTTTTCGAAAAAATGAAAACATCTAATCCAAATGAATAAAATTGGATTGAATTAGATTAGATTAAAAAAAAAAAATCAAACTGAATAAATAATTAAATGATCAAATTAAAAGAATTAAATGAGATAATTTTTACTTTAAAACCGATAAAGCATATCAAATTAAACAAAATATACACAAAAATTAAATTATTTTGGTTAAATTAATTCTATAATAACATTTGTGTGTCTCAGATGGGAAACGGAGTGGAGTCAAAGTCTTTGCACTAATTCCACACAGCTTAAGTTCTGCGTGCTTGTTGCTCACGATAAAAAAACAAAACCCTTGTGTTGTGTTCTCTGGGTGAAACATCCCTTCCCATCAAAAGCAATGGCATTCAATTCAAGCATGGCTCCCTCTCCCAAGGTCCCATTGTTGATACTCATCATCGCTCTCTCATGGGTGATGCTAATGGCCACCTCCGAATCGAACGATGAAAGAGTGAGCGAGCTATTATCCCTCCAATCCAGATCCAAATCAGGTGTAATCCGTCTCAACGACCAATCCCTCTCTCGCTTTCTCACATCCGTCAAAACCCCAAGACCTTATTCAATTCTCCTCTTCTTCGACGCCGTTCAGCTCCACGACAAAGCGGAGCTCCGCCTCACCGACCTCCGCAACGAATTCTCCATCGTCTCTTCCTCCTTCATCGCCAACAACATCGACAACCCTTCTCACACCAAGTTGTTCTTCTGCGACATCGAATTCAAAGAATCTCAGCTCTCCTTCTCTCAATTCAGCGTCAACGCTCTCCCCCACATTCGCCTCGTGGGTCCCAACCATGGCTTCAAGGATTCAGAACCCATGGACCAGAGTGATTTCTCCAGGCTCGCCGAATCCATGGCTGATTTCGTCGAAGCCAAGACCAAACTCTCCGTGGGACCCATCCATCGACCACCCGTTCTCTCCAGGAACCACTTGATCATCATCGGGTTAGCCATCTTGATTTGGTTACCCTTTTTCATCAAGAAGGTCTTATCGGGTCAAACCCTGCTCCATGACCCGAGGGTTTGGTTGGCGGGTTCTGTCTTTGTATACTTCTTCAGCGTTTCCGGTGCCATGCACAACATCATTAGGAAGATGCCCATGTTTCTCGTCGATCGCAATGATCCTTCCAAGCTCGTGTTTTTCTACCAGGGTTCGGGGATGCAGCTTGGTGCTGAGGGTTTTACTGTGGGGTTCTTGTATACAGTTGTGGGTTTGCTCTTGGCGTTTATGACTCACGGTCTCGTGAAGGTGAGCAATGTGACCGTGCAGAGGGTGATCATGATTTTTGCTCTGTTGGTTTCCTTCTTGGCTGTGAAGCAGGTTGTCCACTTGGATAATTGGAAGACCGGTTATGGGATTCATGGCTTTTGGCCCTCTAGCTGGAATTGAGGTTTGGCACGATACAATTTCCTTTATTTCCTCTTCAAGTTGATAATTATGGATCAGGAAAGATGTCTTATGTTAGAACTTTGCAAGAATTAATGTGCAACTTGTTACTGCCCTTTTGTAGCACAACTTTGAGCTTGAATTTGAGTATTAGAAAAATTTTATAATCTGGGGATGACATTTTGTTTGGACTTGTTATATATTTAGTGGCAATTGCATAATGTTGCATTGCATCTTTCTAAACTTATGCTGCTAAATTGATTGTTCTATCCGTCTTAAGTTGTGCCTTTACTTTCTTAAAACTGAATATGTAGACTTATACTGTTGTGCAAGTGCGTGACAGATGTGGCCATTAGTCTCTAGGATTTGGCTCATCTGAAGTGCAGGGTGTATCCATGGATGATAAAATTATGGGAATTGGTTTGTCATAAATCCATATATTCCTATCAGGTTGCTTTACTTTACAAAAATTTGATCCACGTAGCACCTCAGACTTGAATTTACAACTTGCTTTTTAGAGGATCCTATTTGTGTTCTCCCTAATATAGATTTGACAGAACAAGCAGTTTGAGTAAAAGTATGGTCTTACCCTTTTACTATTATTTCTCATATTTTTGTTATACCAAGCAAGTGTAAAATGATTTTTATTCTAAGATTTTTACCTTGCCACTTTGGATCCATCTTTTGTTCAATTTCAATACCTGTAAGGCATCTACACATCGGACTTGGTTGTGAGGTAAAAAAAGGAGCAGGTAGCATCATTTCGGTGGTTAGGTCTACTGGGCTGGGATATTCAGGAGCTCACTTTTGATCGCTTAATAGAGAATTAAAAGCCATAGCAATAGATAACCATTTACGAAACATACTGTGTTTTTGGGTATGAAAATATATTCTGTTCAGAATCTTCTAATTGTCTGATATAAAGACCTAGCCAAGCTTGTGTTAAATAGTCAACCTGATGGTAGTGTAAGCCGTAAGGTGTGATGTTCTACAATAATGGAATTGTGTAGTTTTGGATTCTTGTTTTGTAATCCGAAGTTTTTATGCATCTTCATGTCTACCTGGTTTATGGCTGCTTATCGAACTTCCCTTTCAACACGCATATGTTATATTTACACTGCATTTGACTACGATATCTTAATTAATCTGTGGGAACACAAGTTAAATCTGAAAATGGAAAATAAAAGGTATACTTATTCAAGTTTTTATAGCAAATGGTTTGACATTGGGAAAGAAAGGCATACTTAGTGCTGAATTCCAGTGTGTAGTTGGCAAACTCAATTATCGCTGGAAGATCCACCAATTTCTACACGCTGCAGATCATGTGATTTATTTGTTGATTCAATTAAACCCCAAATGTCTAGTGTTAAAGGGCCTATTTTAGAGCACTTCGCCTTCGGTTTGCACTCTAATCTCTGTAGCTATCATTTGCTTTTCATTTGATTGCTTTCTCGTCTTTTGCCTTTTCCCAGCAAGTTTAATATTATGTTGCGCTGTGCCTTTAATGAGTAAAATTGCTTTAACACTGAACAGTACTAATCAAGCGGGTGAGTAGCCCGTAAAATGCATGACATCGCCAATCTCTCACTTTTACTGCTTTTAAAGTGGCCTCATAGTTCCTCTCGGCAAGAATGTTCTTTCAAAATGGAATATTATCCCTTACTTTTCATTGAGCATAGCAGCTCCACTACTGTGTGAACCAGGGCTGTGCTAAAAAACCTAAAAGATCTAAACCAAACTGAAAACTGAATTACACCATATTAAAAAAAAACTGATTTTTTTAAAAGAGTTTGGTTCTAATAATGTAAAAAAGGTCCGGATATAATAGTTAGCCGAACCACTTTTGACCATGACTATCCTTGATTCCTTGGAGTTAATTGAATGGGAATTGCGAGGGATGGAAAGAAAGATGGAGAGAGAAGAAGGTGGGAAGGGGACTCTTCCGAGGGTGAGAATTTGATATACAATTATGACAGTAGAAACGAGTTTTTCAAGCAGTGTGTGCATCGTCATCAAGAGTAGAAGTTATGATACGAGAATTCCGTGTTCTTCTGTGGCCTTTGGTTGGCACGATTTAATCGGTTTGGTTCAGCATAAGAAATCGAACTAAACTAAAAGATACACTTTCCTAGCAAGAACCAGCATTTTTGGTAACGAGAACACGACTCAATGACAAGGTGTGTTAAAAGCGTCAGCGGGGAAGACGTTAAGAATGACACCATGAGAACAGGCTTGAATTGAAGTATCTTATGGAATGACATCTCAGACGTCGTTAGCTGGACAGGTTAACATGATCATTACACAAATGAAGTTCATACCCAAACCAAATCAAGGTACCTCAATTCAGCTATGTCACATAAATACTAAGTCCTCATCTTAAGCCCTTCATTGGCTCAGTCCATGTCTCCATGATTACTCTAGCTCTGTAGTTACTAATATTGAACCAACTGGGAGGTCCGATTGGGCTGGTAATAAAGACCATATGTTGAAGACGAGACGAGAACCTTAATACTATGGAGAGTACAAGAACCGGGGACCTGGTGCAGTAGTCAGCGAGAGGGAAGTGGATTGGTTACTATCATCAAAACTGCAGAGGTCGAGAAGTTCACAGTTGCTGAGTTCATTCGATGGGGCTTTTGGTTGACGAACACTCTCAAGAGGGGCTCTATCCAGATCTGGGTTTCATTTTATTTGCGTTGTTGCTATCTTGGGAATTGGGATTCTTTGATGAAGTAATTCCGATGGCTTGGTTTGTTTGTGTTTTGGTGGTCCATATAGCCTATTCTAAACTAAAGAAAATGACACTGTCTCATAATAGGTTTCTAAATTAGTAAACAAAATCGAATTCCTATAAGAGTACCAGCAAAAATTCTTGTGTAGACTGGTAAAGGAAAGAAAGCACCCAAAAAAAATGGCAAACCCTTGCCTTAAATGTCTGACAATTGAGGGAAAAAATATTCCCTACCATTAAAATATCTCGATAAAGTCCCAATTTCCCTGTAATTTATATAATGTCTCCTATCCCCTATATTCCTTCAAAACAAGCATATATCCATATCAGATTTAGAGAAGATGGGAAGTGGAACTTATTGACTGCCAGATTTCAACTACAGAGGATATGTGTAGAAGTTATGATTTGTCAATACAAAGTGCAAATTGCAAAGAGTTACATCCAGATTTCGGATTGATTTCATCATGAAGGACACAGATGGGGTATACTTAACGTTTATTGTTCACAACTAAACTAATCAAATTTACGGTGGTAAAGTTGAAGAATTTGAAGTATGGTTCCTAAACAAGAGCATCTATCACGGTTATATATGTTTTGAAGAGGGAAACACCCGTGACAGCTTGGTTATCACTCAAAATAAGCATACTTGGGTGGGTCTACTGAATCAAAGTTGATGTTACAACTTAAATGACTATTCTAGATGGTTTGAAAGGGAAAACAAAACAATAGGAACTTAAGTAGGAAAATAGAGAAATTTCTGAAAATTGGATATGATACAGAGTGACCAAGAGACTATACACAGATATACAGGCGCCAAAGTTAGCTGTCAATTAGTAAGCTTGTTACAAATAAGTTGTTGGTTTCAATTTTGATAATAACAGGAGGAGGTAGTTAAGGTATAAGAAGATTAGTTCAGATGTTTGTTACATGTGCAAAAAGGAAGAAGTTAGTAAGGTGAGGATTAATAACTGAAAATGTATAACTAAGATGAGCAACAAAGATCAAGACATACATGATTCAATTGTCTATCTGTATTTGGTTAACTAAGACAATAATATTCCATGACAAGCAAGAGCATATGAAAATGTACTTTCATAGTTTCATCGAACTTTGCAGCATATTTTTCTAATAAGCATCAAACTATAACTAGACATATTAAGTATTTTCTTGGCTGTAACAAACTTCCCATCTAGAACACACAAAACAACAATGAACAATCTATTTGACGGTACCATATCAATCATCACGCTTTCTTAAATCAATCTAATTTCTTTGGCAGCCACCATGGGTAGAAGTCCATTGTTGTCCGCACGCATAGCAAAACTGAAATTTGCACCTGCAAACATAACCCTTATTCAACAAGTATTTCAAGTCTAAAAACAAACTACCCTTATTCACCTGCAAACATAACCCTTATTCAGGAAGAATGCCAATGAAAAAAAAAAATTGTACAAGAAAACTAAACTAACCTGCAGGTGATATGCAAACACCCTTCAGTCTTTTCCACATAGAACTTGCATTGAGGACACCTACTCCATTTCTTTTGATTAGCAAGCTCTCTAACAAGAAGATCTTCCCTTGCTCTCTCATCTTCATTCAGTGTCAGGAACACCTCACACAGAACCCCAGGATGCCAAGGAACATAACACCTTGCACAGAAGAGTCTATGGCAAAAAGGGCACTCAGACTCCCTAATACCTTCCCCTTCATTGTCATCGAGCAGCATAGCAGAACAATCTTTAAAAGGGCAATAGAATTTTGGAACTGTGAGCAAAAGAGCCTCACACAGTGCGTCATCCCACCTATCAAGAACGTCTTTTGGAAGCATTGACCTGCAATCATCAAGCTCCAACAAACCCTTGCAGTTCAAACCAGGGCAAGAAACAACAGTTATGCCCTCTTGAATCTTTGTGGCCACTTGTTTAGTGACACAATCAGAACAGAAAGAATGGTCACATATCTTGTTCCTGAACATCTCGATTTTCCCTTTGGCTTCTGCACAAATCTCACAGATTATGAGTGAGGATTCCCCTGCTTCTTCAGTCACGAACTCTATCTGCTCTGTCTTGGGGTCTATGTTAACTTCAACGGCCTTTGATGAAGATGGTAATGATGACGATGGTGATATGAAGCGGAGCATGGGTGATGGCGACGACGACGACGACGAACCTTTGATGTCGTTTTGGGTAGTGTTGTTGACAGAGGCCATTAGGGTCTCCTGAAACTGCAACTGTTGAGCATATTTTTCATCAGAGATGGGAACAAGGTCAGTTACACCATCATCGTCGTCGTCATCATTATTCAACAGAGCTGAGAAGTAAAAGTCGTCTACACTGTGAAGACCAATGGTCACGTCTTCTTGTTGTGCCATTGTTGTGATTGTGAGAATGGAAACTCCTTCGTGAAGGGGTTGTTAACCACTATAAAAAGCACCACATTCATTTTCATTTTAAAATTTAAAAGTGGTTTTTATTGTTTTTGGATTCAAATTCGCCTTTTAGATTTCCCTTTTTTATTTGCTATTTTCTCGTAATTAATAATAATAATAATAATAGTTATAATTTATTAAAAATTAATAATTAATTAACAAATATTATATAATAAATTATAATTATCAAATTGATGAAAATTAATTATTAAAATTTAATAATAAAAAATGATAAATTCAATTAATTAGTTGTAAGTGATCTCTCGCAAATGAGAAAGAGATAAAGATGAAACAATTATTATCACAATGTGAGCAAGGATCGCGGACATAATTACCAAAAAGAATTGACTCGTTGCGGTTACGACGAAGGAGCCAATGTGAGCAAGGATCGCGGACACGAATTGTTCTAAGACGTTAACCAAATTGAAACAGCTTCCCCTCTACGCAACAACATCAATCGAGGCCCACATTTTCAAGTGTGCTGGTCTACTGGATTCGGTTAAATGGAAAATAAGAAAATATTTATGAAAAAAGTGTTTCTCATCACATAATTTTATATTATTTTAAATAAAATTATTATAATTTGATGTATATTTAGTAATTTTTTATATTCTGATCTTTCACAAAATCATACATGAAGAAAATAGAAGATAAAAATTTAACAATTCACCGTAATTTCACTTAGAATGATATAAAATTATATCATTTAAAATTATAAGTATATTTTTTCAATATTTATTAATAAAAAAGAAATAGAATTGACTTTGAGTCTGGTTGATTGGGTTTTGAATTAATTACCTCGAAACCTAACCCAATATCAATTTATTACATTTATTTTATTTTATTTTATTTACGTTTTAAAGCCAGTTTAATTTTTTGACAAAATATTTCGTTAAGCGAATTCATCCGAATCCGTGATCACCCCTAGGAAATATAAATTTTTTTGAAAGCAAATATGGATAGAATTACCGAAAATAGCAATTTTACATTATCAATTCATCCAAGTCTCAAAAATCACGAACACTAATAACACTTACAAGACTAAAGTAACCTTTGACTAAGGTAGAGCATCTAACCAAAAGAAATTGGGATTACACAACACTAGAATATTAATTTTAATTAAAAACTTCATTTTGGGATCTTAAAGAACTGTTGCACTTGATTGATAAAATTTGAAATTACATGATTTCCTCTCCAATCGACTCTTCATATTCGCAACATAGGACAAGTTATGGTGCAAATGTGTACTGAAAATCTAATCAATTATATTCGCCTTAATCCCTTTTTATCATGGCTTATGGATTAAGTTTATGATATGAATCACGGTTCATTAGTGTTTTTTTTTTGAAAATATTTTAATCGGTTCATCGTTAGTGTTACATATATGTTATGACACACACAAATTAATATTATATATATTCAAAATTAAATATTAGAATTAATTAATTAAATGAGGCCATAGAATGCACCCTCATCATATGAATATAATTTATTTAGTCCATTTTTATTAAAATAAAAATAATTTTAACATGACTATTATTTTATTTTTTTATTTTTTTTGTAATAACATGACTATTATTTTTGGTACGGAAGTTTTTCTGTTTTTGTAATCGGGAAATAATTTATTTTATTTTATTTTTTAATACGGGGAAATAATTTTAAATCCCACCTTATTATAGGACAAGTTTTAAATCCGTTCAATGCGGGGTGGGACGGGTAAAAACACAACAGTGGGGACGAGATTCTCAAGCCCAATGTAAATTCAGTTTCGGGTCATAGCCCAAGTTCCAAGACATCGAGTCCAAAAAAAAAAGTAGGCTTCGGAAAGCACTAATCAATAACTCCATCTGGGGTCCAGCTAAAGCCATTTGAACTTGCATTGAGAATATAGTTGGAATTTGGTCCAATTAAAGAACGCTGGTATTTGTTTCGAAAAAATAGTGAATTCTTTCGTATTAAAATTTTATATGATTTCATCGTATAAAATAGGTGAGAGTTGAATTATTATTAATTGAAAAAAAAAAGGTAGACCGGTCACCTAAAACTTTAGGATGAGAGGATCATTAGGTATGCTTTTGATTGTTCATGACTTGCAGTCTAGCGGGAAAATGTTTTATGATTACAGTGAACCCAAAAGGAGTATATACTCCACTATAAAAGAATATAACACGTACTGAAAATTTACTCCTCATTCGAATCCTAAAAAAAGCATCTATCAATCAAAATAAATTGGAACTTCAGTTGAAAATCAAAGGAGAAATATCAATGAGTTTGGATATGATACAAAGAGCGACCAATATAAATACCCTGATACACAGGCGCCCAAGTAAGCTACCAATTACAAGTAAGCTTATTAAAAATTTGTTAATAACGAGGATTAATAAATGAAAATGTATAAATAAGACGAGCAAGTAAGATAATATTCAAGTCTTTAAATAACCAATTCAACCCAAAAGCTTACGTTGTTGGGTGAGGCTACATTAATGATTTTATATATCTCAACACGCCTCCTCACACGAGAGCTCATTGGGCTTGAAGGGTGGATAATGCACAGGCACACCTACCTATGCGAAGACAGAAATTCTACTACAAATAAAGTGGAGGGCGGAGAGGTTCGAACCCGGGATACGAGGCTATGATACCATGTAAATAACCAATTTAACCCAAAACTTAAGCTGTTAGGTAAGACTACATTAATGATTTTATATATCTGAACAAAAGTCAGGGCAATTGTTTATCTGGATTTAATCTAGTCAGACGCTGATCATGGCAAGCATGGGCATATGAAAATAAACTTTCAAAAGAATTTTGCAGCATATTTTTCTTAAAAGCATCAACAAACATTACATTTTTCTTGGCTGCAACAAATTTCATCACTAGATTACACACAAAATGATGACATCATATAGATTATCATTGGCAGCCACCGTGAGTAGAAGTCCATTGTTTTCCGCATGCGTAGCAAAACTCAAATTGGCACCTGTAAAAATAAACTTCACAAAGATTTCAAGTCTAAGAAAAAATTACCCTTGTGATGAGAAAATCAACAGCTGCACTATCATACCTTCAACAGAGAAGCGAATAGTTATTAAAGAAAAAAAAAAGTTGTGAAAGAGAATTGACCTGCAGGTGATGTGCAAACACCCTTCAGTCTTTTCCACATAGAACTTGCATTGAGGGCACCTACTCCATTTCTTTTCATTGGCAAGCTCTATAAGAAGTAGATCATCCCTCGCTCTTTTATCTTCATTCAGTGTCTGAAACTCCTCACACTCAAACCCAGGATGCCAAGGAACATGACACCTTGCACAGAAGAGTCTATGGCAAAAAGGGCATTCAGACTCTCTAATGCATCCCTCTTCTTTGTCATCAAGCAGCATAGCAGAACAGTCTTTAAAGGGACAATAGAATTTTGGAACTGTAAGTAAAAAAGCCTCACACAGTGCGTCATTCCACTTGTCAAGCACGTTTTTTGGAAGCATTGACCTGCAAGCATCAATCTCCAAGACACCCTTGCAGTTCAAACCCGGGCACGAAACAACTGTTATGCTCTCTTGAATCTTTGTGGCCACATGTTTGGTGACACAGTCAGAACAGAAGGAATGGTCACATGTCTGGTTCATGAACATCTCATCAGTCTCTTTTGCTTCTACACAGATCTCGCAAATGATGAGTGAGGACTCCCCTAGTGAGTCTTCTTGTTGTGCCATAGGTGTGTAACTCACTCAGCTCTTCTTACTTTTCTTTGGGCAAATGGGGAACAAGTTTATATTGGATTGGTTTGCGTTGGTAAGTGTACGGGCAGAGAAACCAAACAGACATTTTTTCAAAAAAAATAACTTATTACCAAAAATAAATAAAATATATAAATAAAAAATTTACCTAATGGGACTATGCATCAAAATGTCTTTAAACACTCACCAATTAATGTTTTTTTTTTTTTTTTAAAAAGTGATCCATCTAATATTGCATTTATTCTATCCATTAGTCCCAATTATTGTAATTGCCATTGGTTCTGGTTCCTCTCCTTTATTGTTATTAATTTGACCTTCAAAATTCTCAATTAAGGCATTAACATACAAAAAATGGCGTTCACCTTCTCCAAGTTATTGACTCTTTCAGTTACAATGATTCATGCATAGACCAAGAAGTGGTGTTAACTAACCCAAAAAAAAAAAAAGTGGTGTTAATTAATGACCTTGTAGGAAGTATGTGTCAGGCAGGTTCATGGGAAGTCTGTGGCGGAGGCCACCATTAATGAGCTGAATTACTCCAAATACATCAAGTGGATCTGACAACATGTCTCAACCCAAAACCTTAAGGTATTGGGTTCATGGGTCCCTTCCACTTATATACTCTTCACTTAGTTCATTACCAACCAATGTGAGACTCATCGCACTTGAATATCTCAACAATCTCCCTCTCAAGTGTGAAACTCACCATTGGTATGCTCCCCCTCAACCGAGTACCCGAAGCGCAAAGTACTCGACCCGCTTCCTAGCCAATCACCAGGCTAGCTCGAGCCCAACTCGGCTCTAATACCACTGTCAGGCAGGTCCAGGGGAAGCCCGTGACGGGGAGCTACCACCAATGAGCTAAGCTACACCGAGTACATCAAGTGGATCTGACATCATGTCTCAACCTAAGAATGTTGGGTATGACTCATACTTCGCATGCTGATGAGAGCCCTAATTATCGAGGTCAGCAGAAAGTCAACTGGGTTTCGGCTCATACTGAAGTAACCTTTGGGCTTTGACTAAGGTAACATCTAACCAAAAGAAATTGGGATTACACAATACTATAATATCAATTTTAGGGTTATTTATTAAAAACCTGATTTTAGGATCTTAAAAAACTGTTACACTTAATTGATAAAATTTGAAATTACATGATTTCCTCTTCATTCGACTCTTCATATTCGCAAGTCACAATTAGGACAAGTGGTGGTGCAAATTTGTACTGGTAATTGCAAGAGATCTAATCAATTATATTAACCTTAATTCCTTCTTATCATGGCTTATGTATTAGGTTTATGATATATGACCCACGGTTAATTAGTGTTACATATATGTTATGGTATGATTATTATTTTTTATACTGAATTTTTTTTTTAATAGGAAAATAATTTTAAATCCCACCTTATTGTAATCCGTGCAATCCGTGGTGGGACGGGTAAATACCCAAGAGTGGGGACAAGATTCTCAAGCCCAATGTTAATTTTATTTCGGGTTATAGCCCAAGTTCCAAGACGTTGAGTCCAGAACAAAAAATTAGGCTCGAAAAGAACCAAGCAATAACTCTTCATGTCGGCTCCAGCTGAAGCCTCTTTTGGACTTGCATTGTGAATATGGCTTTTACATAACATGAACAATGGATCGCATGTTGGTACCAGCAATAGCCCATATAATTACAATTCCACGTTGGAATTTGGTCGAATTAAAGAACGTTAGGCTTCTATAGTATCACTTTTGAAAAGAGTTTAAAGTCTTAATCTTAGACTTGTTTTAAATAACATTATCTCCCGTAAAGAATACATATTATTTATCAAAAAAAAAACAAAGAAAAAAGAGAACGCTAGGCCATTCTTATGTCTTTGATTGTTTATGACTTGGGGTTTAGGGGAAAAAGGTTTATGCTTATAGAGAACACAAAAAGACTATATGACTACACTTATGTTGCACAGATATCGATACGAGATACGTTAAAAAATGTTAAATTCAACATGTTAGAAAATATTTTAATATTATATAATATTTTTAATTTATATAGTGTATATTATATTTAGTATTTAATAATTTTTCAAAAAAATAAATCTAAACTTATAATACCCATCAATTTTGCAAAGAAACATAAGATATCTCAAATGTTTATATTAAATTCAATAAGATCGTAATCGTAATCTAACGAATCTAATAGTTGGAACTCAAAATGCAACGCAACATAACCTTTGAACCTTTTTTGAGTCTTTGCAATGAGTATTGGAGTGTCGTCAGGATTTTTGAAGTGTCAGTGCTTCATAGTACTACAATATAAAGGAATATATATTACACAAATACTGAAAATTTACTCCTCGTTATGACATTTTTGTTTTGTTTTGTTAATCGCATATTGTGGGAGAGTAATTCTCTCCTATTATAGACACAATTATAGGTAAGAGTGTTCATCAACCGATCCAAACCGATTCAAACCGCGAAAACCGAACCAAAAAATCGATAACCGAATAAATTGAAAACAGAAAAATCAAAAACCGAAAAAAATCGCAAATTTTAATTGGATTGGATCCGTTTTCGGATGGGTTGATGAAAACCGATACAATATATTAATTATCCTCTACCTACTTGTCCTTTCTCCAATTATAGAGAAAAATTTCTAAACTCAAGACCCATTAACTCATCAATTAAACCCAAGAAAAAACTTAGTCACGTCTCATCAACTATAGTATTATTTACTGATATTTTTGTATTTAAAAAAAATAAATTTTCAAAGCCAATATATACAACAGATGTTATTTGCACAATAATCATAAAACTAATCTTAGGATATTCAAAAAACCGAAAACCGATCCAATCCAAACCGAAAAAAATTAGATTGGATTGGATCGGATTTGAAAAAAAAATTAAACCGAATGGATGATTACATGATCAAATCGAAGGGATTGGATCGGATGAGTTTTGCTTCCAAAACCGATCCAATCCAGAGCGCGAACACCCCTAATTATAGGTCACTTATAAAAAATAAAAAATAAAAAATTAGATTACACAAAAACCGATAAATATATAGGAAAGATGGCTACTCTCAAACAAAATGATAGTAGTTTTTCCCTTTTTTTGGTAAGATTTTTTTTAATAGTTTGATTTTTTACCCAAAAAAAAAACTTTCGTTCTGCTAATTTCGATCATAAATTTCAGATATCCAAGTTCTTCCATACACTGGAAAAAGATATGGATAATTTCAATAATTAATTTCAAATATAAAAAGGAGAGAGAAAAATTAATGGTCAACATTGATCTTTTGAAAAGGAGGGCAATTATTTATCTGGATTTAGTCTAGTCAGACGCTGATCATGACAAGCATAAGCATATGAAATTCAAAGGATTTGCAGAACGTTTTTATTCTAAGCATCAACAAACATTACATTTTTCTTGGCTGCAACAAATTTCACCACTAGATTATACACAAATTCATGACAACATATAAATTATTGTTGGCAGCCACTGTGAGCAGACATCCATTCTCTTTTGCTACATTGTTTTCCGCATGCGTAGCAAAACCCAAATTGGCACCTGTAAACATAAACTTCACACAAAGATTTCAAGTCTAGAAAAATATTACCCTTGTGATGAGAAAATCAGCAGCTGCACTATCATACCTTCAGCAGAGAAGCGAATATTTATTAAGGAAAAAAAAAATTGTGAAAGAGAATTGACCTGCAGATGATGTGCATACACCCTTCAGTCTTTTCCACATAGAACTTGCATTGAGGGCACCTACTCCATTTCTTTTCATTAACAAGCTCTCTAACTAGGAGATCTTCCTTTGCTCTCTCATCTTCATTCAGTGTCTGGAACACCTCACACTCAACCCCAGGATGCCAAGGAACATGACACCTTGCACAGAAGAGTCTATGGCAAAAAGGGCACTCAGACTCCCTAATACCTTCCCCTTCATTGTCATCAAGCAGCATAGCAGAACAATCTTTAAAAGGGCAATAGAATTTTGGAACTGTGAGCAAAAGAGCCTCACACAGTGCGTCATCCCACTTGTCAAGCACGTTTTTTGGAAGCATTGACCTGCAAGCATCAATCTCCAACACACCCTTGCAATTCAAACCAGGGCACGGAACAACTGCTATGCTCTGTTCGATCTTTGTGGCCACATGTTTGGTGACACAGTCAGAACAGAAGGAATGGTCACATGTCTGGTTCCCGAACATCTCGTCAGTCTCTTTTGCTTCTACACAAATATCGCAAATGATGAGTGAGGACTCCCCTGGTGAGTCTTCTTCTTGTGCCATAGGTGTGTGACTCACTCAGCTCTTACTTGCTTTGTTTTGGGCAAATGGTGAACAAGTTTATATTGGATTGGTTTGCGTTGGTAAGTGTAACGGCAGAGAAACTGTTAGAGATTTCCGAGGAGATAAATTAGGAGATTTGATTCATCGTAATCATGTATCAAATACATAAAGAAGAAAACAAATCATGTGATTTTTTTGACCGTGGACAAAATAATTTGGCCCAATTATTGTATCATCTATTAATTATATTGAAGAAAACCTCACTCCATAAATATATCTGATAGGGGGAGAAATGTCATTACTATGGATGTAGGTAATAGCTGAATGTCAATCGTGATAAATCTTTGTGTTCTTTAATTTTACAGAAACCAAACAGGCATTTTTAAAAAAAAAAACTTATTTAACAAAAACATATAAAATAAGGGCAATAATTTATGGAGAATGATATTGTAACAACCAAGTTGTGTTACTACCAATCAATCTTAGATCGATTATGTTGATCCAACGGTTATATTTATTTCCATCTTTGTATGGTCATAATTTTTCAAATTTAATACTTTTTATTTATTTTCACCTTTGTATGATTATGATTTTTCATATTTAATGCTTTCACTTTAAATATGGGAAATCATAATCATACAAAGATGAAAATAAATATAATTGTTGGATCAACATAATCGATCTAACGGTGAGATTGATTGTAGTAATATGATAGTAACACAACTTAATTGTTACAATATCATTTCCCATAATTTATAAGACACAAATTTCAAAGGGTGTGATTGAGAAAAAATGTCTCTCCCAACATTTTTCCCATAAAATATATAAATAAAAAATTTACCGAATGAGAGTATGTATGAAAATATATATCTTTGAACATTCACCTATATATTATTGTTTTTTTTTTTTTTTTAAAGTGACCCATCTAATATTGCATTTATTCTATCCACGAGTCTCAATTATTGTAATTGCCTTTGGTTTCCCCTCTTTTATTGTAATTAATTTGATCTTTGAAGTCTGAATTAAGGCATTAACACACGAAAAATGACGTTTATTTTCTCCAAGTTGTTGACTCTTTTAACTTACGAGGAGTGAATCTTTTTATGTTAAAATTTTATTAAAATTTTTGTATTTATCTCTCACTTCATATGCATTAAATAGGTGAGATTCAATTATCATTATTGAATACAGAAATAGATACAAAAATTTTCATCCCCAAGTTACAATGATTCATGCATAGACTAAGAAGTGGTTTTATGTAAGGGATGAATCCTCTCATGTGCTATTTATGACATGGAAGAATCATAACTATTTAAGGATGAATCAAGGATGATAAAGAAATATATATATATATATATATATATATATATATATATATATATATATATATAAATAGGTAATTATAAAATTACCACCGTTGACTTATCTTTTTATGATTAGGATCCTCTTGTCTAAATAAGCTATATTTATTACAAAATTACCACTGTTGATTCATCTTTTTATTGAGTTATATTTATTAATTAATTATTAATTTTAAATAAATTATAACCGTCAGATGGACAGAAATTAACAATTGATATAAGAAGTAAAACTTATTAATCTTATACTGGAGTCAAAAAATCCTTCCTTATTTTATACTGTTTAGATAGTAATAATTTTTTAAATAGTAGTTTGATTTCTTTTTTAAGTGTATTAAGAGACAAAGCTCGGCAAGATGCCACTTTTTTATTTGATAAATCACATGTATCTTTTATGGAAGACAATTCTGTTCAAGACAAATTCAGTATTAAGATTTTAAATTCCTCTAAAAAATAATACTGAATAAAATCGAACATATATCCTTACATATTTAACTCTTTTACATCAACTGATCTACCATTGTGGCAAAGTGTCACTTTGATTGAAAAGTCGTAGGAAACTTGCTTGCTTGGCGAAGGGGTTAAAGCCTATAAAAGCACCACATTCTTTTGCATTTTAAACGTAAAGTAGTTTTGATTGTTTTAAGGTTAAACTTACTTAATAATAAAATTAAATAATAAAAAGAAAGAGATAATAAAGAACGGAAAACAATTGATTCATTGTTGTTAGTGCCTGTTTAAAAGGTTTTTTTTTATCTTTTTTTTTTTTCAAAAGTTAAAACAAACAAGTTTTTAAAAAAGCTTGTATTATATAAAAAAATTTATAAAGAAGAAAATAACTAAAAGCTAAAAAAAAGTGGTGTCAAGTAGGGGTATGTATGAGTTGAATTGAACATAATTTTTTAAAAAACCGCACCGAATTGGTTTAAACTGTTTGGTTCGGTTCAAAACCAGTTCGGTTCGATTCAAAATCGATTTGGTTCAGTTCGGAAATGATTTGGTTCGGTTAGAAACGGTTCGGAACTGGTTTGGGTCGACCCTATTCTGAAAAGAAAAAAAATTAAAAAATCAAAGAAATAAAATAATAAAAATCGATTCAGTTCGATTTGAAAACGTTTGGTTCTTGAATTGATTTTAAAAATCAATTCGGTTCATGAACTGATTTTTTAAAAATCGGTTCGTTTTATAAATCAATTTTAAAGCTCAATTATTTTAAGTGCAGTTCAGTTCGATTCATGATTCGATTTATTTTTTTGATTATTTTACACATCCCTAATATCAAGTAGGCTCGTATGATAACTACAAAGGAGTCAATGTTAACGAAACACGGACAAGAAGTGTGCTAAGACGTTAAGTACATGGGAGAACAATGTTAACGGATCACGGAGAACAAATGTGCTAAGACGTTAAGTACATGGGAGAACAATGTCATTAGAATAAGAATTCATCTTTGCATTTGACATAAGGTTGTGTTGAAAGAAGAATCATTGAGATAAACAAAATCACGATTAATTTGTATCTGAGAAATTAAAATATATTAATGATATTGTGGGCAAACTTCACACATTTTCAAATGTATTAAACAGTTAAGGGGACCGGCAGTAAATATATTATTTTTTGAAAAATATTCATAAAATAAAATATAAGGAAAAACGTTATTAGTAAATATAAGTAGGATTAGAGTTGAGTACTTGAGTCCCGTTGAATGGGTTTTAAATTAATTAACTCGAAGCTCAACAATATTATTTGTATTTTATTTAATTTTAACTGATTTAACATAAGTATTCGAGCCAATTTAATTTTTTTACCCTCTGGGGAGTCGAGAGTGGATTTACAATTTTATCAAAAACTGTTAGGCAGTGTAAAATTTAGAAAACACAAATATGGATAGAATTACATAAATATCTTTGTTTCAATCTTAAAATGATGTTGTTTTAGATTCACCGGGGATAAATTATTAATTCTATTGACTGAAAAAATATTAAATAAATTATAATTAATATTAGATAATTTTTTAATATTTTTAATTAACCATTCTTGTGATATATATATATATATATATATATATATATATATATATATATATTAATTATATTATATTTAAGCCAATAAAATTGGCCTAATGGTGATGAATTTAGGTAGCTTGCACGAAGTGTTCAAACTTCAGTATTATCATTCTTTAACTTAATTATCATTCTTTCCCATGTAGGGGTGAAAGTGAGCTGGGCTGGGCCAAGCTTTGCCCTGAAAAGTCCAAGCCTACGTCAAAAAATTTCAATTTGGCCTGGTCCAAGCTTAGTATGAGTGTAACTGTTAGCCTGACTTGGCCCATTTATAAAAAAACATATGGCCTGCCTTGGCCCGTTAGCCTGTTAATTTTTAACTTCCAAGCAGAACCATGAATCAACTTTACAAAGTACTCAAATTCTGTTGCTACACCAAAAATCATAATTTCAACGTCCAAACAGAATAATGAATCATAACAAAAACTCATACAATATGCATTTAAGTCATTTTCAAAAGCAAAATGCTCAAACTAAATAACATATATTTCATCAGATCCAACAAACAAATCAATACTATGTAAATTAAAATAACTACATGAATCGAACAAACGCATCATGATGCTTGTAGTAAGCATAACCTCTACCAATTTTTTTTTAATATATTCATATACACAATCTAGCATGTTGAGATGTTGGTTCCTCCTATATAAGAAATAAAGTAAGATTTCTATTAAAATATAATCAAATATAATTAAATTATAAATAATCGTAATTGATTAAATTTATATCTTTTATTTTTTCTTCAAGGCATACTTACTCTTTTATTTTATTTAAAATAAATAGTACAATATAGGCCGACCTGTAGGCTTATAGGCCCGGCCTTTTGAAAGTGGGCCTATGGCCTTTTTATTAAACAGGCTTTTTTAAGGCCCAAGCCCGACCTATTATACAAAATATACTTAGTCAGGTATGGCCTGATGTAGGCCGAGCCGTAGGCCACTGTAGGTCGGCCCGGCCCAGTTTCACCCCTATTCCCATGCAATAACATTAACCCGCCTTGGCTCATTTATGTCCGTTATTAACCTGTCAAAAAATAAATCTATCTCGCTTTTGAGATGGGTTGAAAAACTCAACCCGCTGAATCGAGCCCGTTTTATCACCTCTAAATGGAGGTAGTTAAAACTTGTACCTGCCTTGTAAGAAAAATTATCAAAGTTTTGCATTATCCTATATTTTTAATATTTTAAAATAAATTTATTCAATTATTGTCATTATTTGAAATTCAATAAATTTATTTCATATCTACTAAGAAAATGAAAATAATTATTAAACTAACGAAAATAATTAGTATACTTAATTTTATTAATAATTAATATAATATTTACATAAATGTGAATGTGGTACATGACAAACTGAATTTATTCCAAACTCGAATTTATCCCACCTTATTGTAAGACAAGTTTTTTTTTTTTTTGAACAACTTTGTAAGACAAGTTTTAAATGCGTGGTTGGACGGGTAAATACCCAAGAGTGGTGACGAGATTCTTAAGCCCAATGTTAACAGCGCTAACTCATAATCTGGGTAATGATTCTGCTTTCGGTTTCGGGTTATTAGCCTTTTGGACTTGCATTGAAT